GTAATACGAAATCTTCTGACAGATAGTTGTTATTTGTTACACAGGATATGCTGTCTTTATACATTATCTTGATCCAAGATGTGAAGTTTTGATGAAATCCAAACCGGTCGAGTACATTGAATAAATATGACCACTCAACACTATCGAATGCTTTATAAATGTCTAAATTAAATATAGCACCTGGTATGTTATGATGGGATGTATAGTTGATTACGTCACATACCAATCTTATATTTTCACCCATCTGTCTGCCTTTGAGGAATCCTCTTTGATCTTCATCAATGATACTGTCCATGACTTTCTTTATTTGAGCCGTTAAAACCTTACTTAGAATTTTGTAATCTACATTGAGCAATGTGATAGGCCTGTAGTTCTTTATGTCATTTCTCTCTTTATCTTTTTTCAGTATTAAAGAAATTAATCCTTGACGTTGGGTATCACTGAGTTTTCCAGTTATCCAAGAGTAGCTGTATGAATTTAACAAAGGCACCTTGATGTCCTCCCAAAATGTTTTATAAAATTCGCATGAGAATCCATCTGGTCCAGGGCTTTTATTGTCTTTCATTGAAAAAAGTGCTTTTTTACATTCAGATAATGAAATACTACCATCACATATATCAGATGTTTCCTCAGACATTTTTGGAATATCCAAGTTATTTAAAATATTATTGATATTGATTTCATCAGGCGTACTTGATTGAAACAAATTTTCATAAAAATGTCGAATTTCCTCTAGTATACTCTTTTGATCCGTTACTAAATTATTGTCAATTTTAATCGTGTGATTGAAGACTTTGTTTTTCTTCTTTTTTCCAAACCAAAGAAATATTTGGAATTTTTTTCGCCATTTTCTGCCCAGTTTGTTCTACTACGAATAATACTTCCACGGGTTAAATCTTGAAAAAGTTTATCATATTCTGTCTGTTTAAGTAAAAGATTTTCATAGGTCTGATCAGAATCATCATTTAGTAACTGCTTCTGTAGTTCTTTGATATCTTTTTCCACTTCCTCTATTAATTTGGTAGATTCTCTTTTTTTTCCGGCATGAGTAAGAGATTGTTTCACCTCTAATAATGCATTTGAGGGTGTCCCAAAAAATATGTGGATTAACAGGGTGATGCGAATGGTCATAAATGGCATTTGATATTGTAGTACGTATTAAATTAATGTAAATCTCATCATGGAGTAGATTGCAGTTAAATTTCCAATATCCATTACCTCTTGGTGTTGGGTCAAGTTGAAGTTTCAAAAAACAAAGAGAATGATCAGATCTTGTGCTAGGTAAAATATTACAATTCATTACTTTCTCCATGAGTGCACTTGATATTAGAAAAAAATCAATTCTTGTCCAAATTTTAGCTGGCTTTTGTAAGTGAGTATAATTTTTTTTGGTAGGATGGCTCAAACGAAATGCATCACATAGATTGTATTCACTAATTATATTCATAACAGTTTCTCTTGATCTTCGATTACTATGTGTCGCTCTACCTCCAAATTTATCCATGTTATCATTTAGCACAAGGTTAAAATCACCTCCAACTATGAGGTTATCACATTCAATTTCATCTAAAATTTTAATCAGGTTTTCAAAAAATTCAGGTTTATCTTCATTAGGCCCATAGACATTCAACAGACCAAATTTTAATCCTCCAATAGTCACTTCAATTGCAATATACCTTCCGCTTGTGTCTTTAAGAGTTTTATGAATATTATAATCAACATTTGTGTTAAATAGAATTGCAACGCCGCAAGATTTACTTGAATTGTGACTAAACGCCCCAGTACCGCCCCATTCTTTTAACCACTGATCCTGATGCATTTCTACTCCATGCGTTTCTTGTAGAAAAATCAAATCTAACTTTTTTCTTTTGAGAAACATAAAAACTTGTTTTCTTTTTTCAAAGCTTGCTATTCCTCTAGTGTTAAGTGAGGCAATGTTCAATGTCGGATTATCCATAGCTTTTTGTGTCACAATTAGGATCCACTTGGTATTTACCACACGTGCATGAAGGGCCATTTTCAGACCCACTTATTACACCACAAGAACAAAAAGTTATGGTTTGCTTGCATTGAAGGTTGTTACACTTTTTGAACATTCCCTTTAAAGGAGGCTCATTCAATGATGAGCAATGGCATTTAATGTATAATTTTGAACAAATTTTGCATTCAAGTAGATTTTTCTCCCAATTACTAATGTTCAAACAACATGGTGAATAAGTAGTTGGATTTTGACATAAATTACACGGAATAGGATCATTGAGATTAGCTTGATCTTTAGGTACAGTGAAATATCCGTCACTTTGACAGCATTGCTTTAAAATCAAATTTATTGTACTGCAGTACTCGCACATCACTTCATTAGAATTATCTATGAGTACAATATTTGATCCACATTTTCCACACATAAGAAGTTTACTTGCCTTGTCTTCAGTCATATCCATTTCATTTTTATCATTTGTTGCCCCATCATATTTTAGTTGAGACCGGGGTTGCTCATTAGGACTATCAGAATGGAGTCGTTTCTGTTGTCTATGCCACATTATTAAGGTTTGGTTTTCTGGTTGTGATGTCCCATCATCACAAATAGTTGGCTTTAGTGGGGTACTTTTATCCGTAGTAGTTTGTTCAACTTGCATAGTGAGCTGTGTTACTTCTGCATCAATCCAGTGATTCAGGGTTGTTTGTTCTGGTTGAATCTGTATTTCCTCTGATGTTTTCGGCAAAGATGCATTCACTTCATTTTCCTCTTGTGTAGGGGCATAATTCGGTGAAGAAATTTTGCTTGGTTTTTGTACGCTTTGTCTCAAGTTTATATTTTGAAGTCTAATCGGACAATCTATTTTAAAATGATCTATTGAGCCACATTGTTTGCATGTTTTTTTCTGTCCATAATACTTGACTGCTAGCATGTATCCGTCCACGAAAATATAACTTGGTATTGGGTGTTCTTGCAGTGATTTAGGCGATATTTTTACATTCATTGTTCCTTCTCCAATCCCATCTTTATCTTTAGATTTGTTAACGTCGGAGTCAAATTTTACATATTCAAGCAATGCTGCCTTTACCCTATTGGTGGTTAAATAGCCTGGTATCCATGAGATATTAACTTTAATCAATTCCGGCTCATACAAATGCCATTTAAGTATGGTATGTGGTTCATCTTCTAAAAAGGTTGCTAACTGTAATACTGCGGCTCTTGAGTTACATGTAATATCTACAGAGTTGTACGGCCTCACTGCAATTGTATTTACATGGATTTTGTTCAAGCATTTTAAAACAATACTTTTAGCAGCATTTCTAATTCCGTCTTCAAAATGGTCTTCTTTAGAAAATTGGATATGTAATCAATGTGGTCTTCGAATTTCTCTAACCCTTTTATCTCTCTGCGGTGGAATATTACCGGAACGCCTATTTAAAATCTCAGAGTACGAAGCGGCCATGTCTCGACGTCACCTACTCAACTTCAACTGAAAATCGAAATTTCTTCTCTGTTTTTCACGACATCTAGTGTTGTTGGGATAATTTGACCGCAGGTGATCTGTTGTAGCAAAAAGTTACTAGTCACTTTGCTCCAGCCCACGGTTTCAGTTTCGAGTTCGGACGTTTTGTTCAGTTTAATTATCGCGTAGTTTTGTGGGATCTAGTATAGTTTAGTACCACAAGTACTCAGTGGACGTAGCATAACGAATTTTGCATTTTTTATTCCTAACCCTGACTATGTCTGCGCGTTTTGGATGACCATCCGCATACTTTGGTGGGCCTTATTACGCCACTGTGACGTCGAAATGACGTAATTTTTTGGTGATGTAGTCAGGTGGGGGTTAGAATTGACATATGCAAAAATTGGTGAGACAGGTCAACTAGAAGTGCATGTAGTACGGTACTAAACTATACCAGTCCCCCGTCGGATGCCTTGTAACTTCAAACTTCGGATGAAATTTTCAATTGTTTATATCTCGACTAAATTGCGTCATATTGTGCTTCTGGCAGTTTCTATAGTGAGTCCCTATATATCTGAATCTGTTATCATATTCAATCGCGCAGTTTTATTTATTTTTTCATTGAAAATCACGTTTTGGCAAAAAATTGACACTCCTTTTTCAAGTGGCTTGAATCGTGACTTCTACCGACGCTAACTTCGTCAAATTACCGTCATAGAGCTTGCCAAGTACAGCTACCATCGTCCAAAATGGCATCTGCACCGACGATATCGAACTCACTAACGCCAGCGGTCTCTCTCATATCGGGATCGTTGAAACGAGAGAAATAGCTTGCTCGATTTCAGGTGAACGTCTGCACAGTTTGGACGACCACCCGTACACTTTGGAGGCCACTGTGATGTCATAGTGACGTAACCTTTGGTGACATAGTCAGGTGGGGGTTAGGAATGATATATGTGAAAATTGTTGAGCAAGGCAAACTTGAAGTACATGCGGTACTAAACTATACCAGACCCAATTTTTTGATATGTCAATCCTGACCCCCATCTGACTACGCCATCCAAAAATTACGTCACTTCGACATCACAATTGCGTCATAGAGCTTGCCAAATATATGTACGATTGCCCGAATTGGCATCGGCACCGAGGATGAAGAACTGGCTGACGTCCTTGATCTCTCTTATATTGGGTTCGTTGCGGCGAGAAAACGAGAGAAATAGCTGTTCGATTTTGGGTGCTCGTCTGCGCGTCTTGAATGACAGTTTGTATAGTATCAGTTTGAAGGGCTCTATTATGTCACAGTGACGTCGTAGGGATGTTATTTTTTGTGGGGGTTAGGATTGGCAATTGAAAAAATTGTTATGCTACGCCCACTAGAAGTATGTTAGGTACGAAACTACATGAGACCCCAATTTTGGTTACCTGGCGCATGGTTCTGGTCCCATAATTAATTAATTCCTAACCCTTTGATCACCACGAAAATGTAGGCTAGAGTAACCTTGTTCCCGCTAGCTCACCTATTTTCATTCAGGTGTTATGACAGCCAGAAGATAATATAATGGTATTTACAGATGATCACATTTACACTTGGTTACAAAAATTACAATATTATTCGTTAATTCAGTGAACTAGTACTGTAGTATGAACATCCCAAAATTGTTCTTAAGTAAAATTGGATATTGTCACAGTGTTCTAAAAACAGCTTCTTCAAGACGATCATATCATGGATTGTTGTTGGCAAAAGTATGTCTATCACCCTCGCACATATTGGTGGAAAATATTCGTTACAAAACAAGAGCTGTCATATTTGACATGGGTGGAGTTGTGCTCAAAAGTCCATTTCCACTAACAAGAGCATATGAGGATGAAAGAGGGATTCCTCCTGGTACCATCTGGAAATGTATTGAGCAGTTTGGTGCAGATGGTTCTTGGCCTAAATTGGAAATAGGAGAACTAAATTCTGAAGAGTTTGGTGTAAAATTCTCTGAGGAATGTTCTGTCACTGCAGGTCAAAGTGTGGAATTACATGACTTTCTTGAGTATTTGGAGAATGGAATGGGTGATCCAATCCCAGAAGTGCTAGATGCAGTCAGGGCTATAAAAGCAGAAGGCATTAAAACCGCTCTCCTGACAAATAACTGGAAAAATTCTGATGGCAGCACATTGATTCCTATCGATCAATCAATTTTTGATGTTGTCGTAGAGTCTGCTGTGGCTGGAATAAATAAACCGAATCCAGTTATTTATAACAAATGCTTGAATGCATTGGGAGTCAAGGCTGAAGATGCAATCTTTCTTGATGACATTGGCAGTAATATAAAGGCTGCAAAGAGTCTTGGAATTCGATGCATCAAAGTGGAAAACATTCCTGCCTCACTTGCGCAGCTCGAACAAATATTGCAGTTTTCTCTGTCCAATCCTATCCCAGAAACAAAGGGAGTTCGAAAAGGTATGGAGATATCAGAAAGGAATCTTGAGAAAAACATTCAGAATACCCTTAAGATTCATTCACACACTGGCCTACATATTCGGCAGTTTGCTCATGGCCAGTCTAATCCGACATACTATATTGAGTATGGAGATATGAAAGCCGTTCTTAGAAAAAAGCCACCAGGCAAATTGTTACCATCAGCACACGCTATTGAAAGAGAATACAGAGTAATGTCTGCCATGAAAGAAGCAGGGGTTCCTATTCCCACACTTTTATCTCTTTGTGAAGACTCTTCAATCCTTGGTACTCCTTTTTATTTGATGAAATATGTGGATGGCAATGTGTATAAAAATCCACTGCTCCCTGATATGCCTGCAGAGAAAAGACGGCGTATTTATCATAACCTAGCTGATACTCTGTGTAATATACATTCCGTTAACATAGACAATGCAGATCTCACCGACTTTGGAAAATATGGAAATTATGTTGAAAGACAAGTAATAACTTGGTCAAGGCAATATAAGGCAACTGAAACTCATAATATCCCTGCTATGAACAGATTGATAGAATGGTTGCCACAACATTTACCAAAAAATGAGAGTACTGTTGTGGTTCATGGTGACTACAGACTCGATAACCTTATTTTTCATCCAGAGACTGATGAGGTTCTTGCTGTTTTGGACTGGGAATTGTCCACCCTGGGTGATCCATTGTCAGATTTGGCATATATGGGAATTGCTCATTATTTGCCTAAAAATATACCAATACTACCAGGCATGGCTGAAAAGGATTTGGAACGTCTGGGCATTCCCAGCATGAAGGAATTAATGCATCGTTACTGCTCCAAAACTAACACAGCAGAAGTTTCAAATTTTAATTTTTATATGGCTTTTACATTTTTCAGAGTAGCTTCTATATTACAAGGTGTTTTTAAAAGGTCCAAAATGGGCCAGGCAAGCTCTGCTTCTGCCAACGCTGCTGGTTCACTTGCAGAACAAATGGCCGATATTGGTTGGAATTTTGCATGTAAAGAAGGATTTAGAGTATTCAATGACTCCAATCGCATTCTTTTGAAGGGAAAACCATAAGGGCACAATAATTAATATATAAACTTTTATTTGAGGCACTTGCTAATTTTATTGTTTTATCTAGCATAATATCTTAATAATGTTAATATACTTGGATATGATAGGGATGACTTGCATTAGGTGCATGCCGTATCTTGTTTGGTAATTTTTTCGAGTATTTTTGTAATGCATTGTGGATAATTTAATTTTTGGTTCAGTTGAGAAATCATTCATTATAACTGTGCTATTCACTGACTTAATTTTTTGTGCTGATTATCCACTGCAAATTTCGTTGTTGTAACTGTTCAAAATTGATTAAAGGATTGATTAGGATTTTGTGAGAGATTTTGTTCATACATGAATTGTCAATAAATAATCGTCCTTGACCAATCGCATAATTATTTTCATTTATCTTGTGAAAGAATACGATTCCATAATAATAAAGATAATGTGTAATATAAGTTTTCTGTGTTTGCCCGTCTTTACTATGCACCACTGGTCTTTAGAAGATATCACCTCTTCCTAATGTAGCAGTATGTTCATTTCGTGAAATAAAATAATTGTACTAGTATTGCAAATTATACTACCAGTAAGGACAGCATAATAACACCCTGAATACCAGGAATCCTTTGCTGACCTTCTTGCAGTTGCATTATGTTTGAGAAATTACCGTAGCTTGGTGAGGAAACGTTGGTTCGTTCGTGTTATATCTAACCCAAACCAGATGTTTGCTGAGTTCAATAATAAGTCATCTTCAAACTTTGTACACTGATTTAAATCAGCATTTTTGTTGGATGAATATGTTAGATTAGCACCTAAGACAACGGGTTCCATTGTCTTCGCGCCTGTAAACTGCGCCCACCGACATTTCCGTCCACGTACACCTGAGCCCATGAATAATTGCAACTACGTACATTTTCACCTGTGATTATTTTTATCCCATTGACGAGTGTGTACACTGTACACCGTCTTATTCACTCGCAAATATTTGTGCGTTCACGGGAATTTTCTATTATTATTTTAATGGAAGACGATAAGACGGCTTAACCATATATATGGCGAACCGCGGTCTCTCGTCCGGTTACCCTTCCATGTTAGTTAGTTTCGGAAGCATGGCGAAGGAAGTCGTAACCGACCAGCGGTTACCTAAACCACCTACGGCGGCGAGAGGTCCAGCACGTCCTCTCGCACATAACTATCCCCGCAACCCACGCAGAGTAATCAATCCCTATTTTTGAGTTTTTTATTCCCTTATTAGATCAGCAACAAAATGTGAGTTGATATGCAAATCCAAATATTTCAGTCTGTTAGGTCAATGAGGGCGGATATCTGCTAATGATGATAACACATAACCAATCTCTAAAAAAAGATTCCATATTTGGTTATAAATAATCGCCAACTAGACACCTTAATATAAAACGATGCGCGTAGTAAATGCGACTTGTCCGAGTTGTACTATGGGTTTGCTAATATCTGAATATAGGCCAAAATGCCACTTTATTATGAATAACATTTTTGGGCGGTGATCCCAAAAAGTCCAGCCTAAATCGCACAATATCTGAGAATACTCGTGTCTCCGACCTAATGGGCCTACTAGTTGCTGCGTTTCTCTGATCATTTGAATTGGATGATTTAATATTTGTTAGAAGAGAAACTTTACCATGAATTTCACATATTAAATTGATAAAGTCGTTGTGTAATTGCGTTTTCCAGATAGGAGGAGGGTTGGGGCCAGTGTTCCCTCTAAGGTGTGCGCGCGCACACAGCTTTCAGAGGCCGCACACACGCATAGATTTACTGCACACAGACGTATTTCGATGTAATGTAACATAGGGCTTAGGATTTTGTGAGAGATTTTGTTCATACATGAATTGTCAATAAATAATCGTCCTTGACCAATCGCATAACTATTTTCATTTATCTTGTGAAAGAATATGATTCCATAATAATAAAGATAATGTGTAATATAAGTTTTCTGTGTTTGCCCGTCTTTACTATGCACCACTGGTCTTTAGAAGATATCACCTCTTCCTAATGTAGCAGTATGTTCATTTCGTGTAATAAAATAATTGTACTAGTATTGCAAATTATACTACCAGTAAGGACAGCATAATAACACTCTGAATACCAGGAATCCTTTGCTGAACTTCTTGCAGTTGCATTGTGTTTGAGAAATTACCGTAGCTTGGTGAGGAAATGTTGGTTCGTTCGTGTTATATCTAACCCAAACCAGATTTTTGCTGAGTTCAATAAGAAGTCATCTTCAAACTTTGTACACTGATTTAAATCAGCATTTTTGTTGGATGAATATGATAGATTAGCACCTAAGACAACGGGTTCCATTGTCTTCGCGCCTGTAAACTGCGCCCACCGACATTTCCGTCCACGTACACCTGAGCCCATGAATAATTGCAACTACGTACATTTTCACCTGTGATTACTTTTTATCCCATAGGCGCGTGTGTACACTGTACACCGTCTTATTCACTCGCAAATATTTGTGCGTTCACGGGAATTTTCTATTATTATTTTAATGGAAGACGATAAGACGGCTTAACCATATGGCGAACCGCGGTCTCTCGTCCGGTTACCCTTCCATGTCGCGTATGGGGTTAGTTAGTTTCGGAAGCATGGCGAAGGAAGTTGTAACCGACCAGCGGTTACGTAAACCACCTACGGCGGCGAGAAGTCCAGCACGTCCTCTCGCACATAACTATCCCCGCAACCCACGCAGAGTAATCAATCCCTATTTTTGAGCTTTTTATTAGACACGTAGTGGACATAACGATCGTTTCAATATTATGTTGTTCTTGTTCTTTGACACGTTTTTAAAAAGTCGCTTTTCTCTTCGAATACTGGACCAATTGCTTTGAAATTTTCAGTGGTTAAAAATAAAAATTTTCTCCAGAAGGCTATTACTTTTTTTTCGCTATGACGTCATCAAAATTATATGACTCTACGTGTCCATATATTTGAGCATAGCTCTCTTGTTCCCTTATTAGATCAGCAACAAAATGTGAGTTGATTTGCAAATCCAAATATTTCAGTCTGATAGGTCAATGGGGGCGGATATCTGCTAATGATGATAAGACATAACCAATCTCTAAAAAAAGATTCCACATTTGGTTATAAATAATCGCCAACTAGACGCCCGAATATAAAACGATGCGCGTAGTAAATGCGACTTGTCCGAGTTGTACTATGGGTTTGCTAATATCTGAATATAGGCGCAAAATGCCACTTTATTATGAATAACATTTTTGGGAGGTGATCCCAAAAAGTCGAGCCTAAATCGCACAATATCTGAGAATACTCGTGTTTCCGACCCAATGGGCCTACTAGTTGCCGCGTTTTTCTGATCATTTGAATTGGATGATTTAATATTTGTCAGAAGAGAAACTTTATCTTGAATTTCACATATTAAATTGATAAAGTCGTTGTGTAATTGCGTTTTCCAGATAGGAGGAAGGTTGGGGCCAGTGTTCCCTCTAGTCTAAGGTGTGCAAATATTAGTCATTTCCAAAAAAGTGCGCACACATACTACAATAATTAGAGGGCACATTGGTTGGGACACTTTTTTTTTGCATCTTTTTAGTCTTAACTTACATTTTCTTGCATTCATTCATTTGACCCTTGCGGGACTGATGCAGAGAGGGGCAAATGTAGTTTTTATTCCCGACTAAGAAATTTCCTGGTGCACAATGAGGCGGTCAATCAAATAGAACAAAACATGCCGTTAAAAGTCAGCGAAGAATCAGCATCTCAAGAACTCTGAGCATCAAATTTGAAAGGATTTGGCATTGTTCCCCATAGGCATCAAACTATTTCAGACTGAAACCCCCAAGTGGGCTGAAGCAAAGAATTACCGAACAGTGGTATGTCGCTCTGAACGGCCGATGCCCGTTTGCGGACGGACGTCTTACCGCACCGAAAGGAGGATTCAAACATCGAAAACATTCATAAATACGAGTATACAGTAAGAGTCTCAGAGCTGATTTTCCAATGTGCCCTACCTTCCTCTGCCAGTTTTGTCTTTGAAACTATCAATTCCTCAGTGTTGGGGGCACATAAGTTAATGAATGATTAATTCACCGTTGTCTATGAAAACTACTTCAACTCACGCCCATCTATTCATTACACGAAAGAGCAGGGACTCCAGAATACAGTGAATCGACGCAATTTTCCAAATCCGTTGGGATTCCGTAATTGACTCGGATGGCACTTGACTCACCAACTCGAGAATTATAAACTTTGGAAAAATTGACGCTTCACTAAACTTGGGTGCCAATTTGATACCAGCAATAATTCTAGATGTGGGCGTAATTCTATTTTTTCAGTCTCCAGATTATTGTCATATAAAATATTGAAACATGTTGTTTTTGTATACTTTTTTCCATCCTTTCAAAATTGAACTACCATTTTCGGGAGACACAAATACCACATGATTTATTGGAATTCACGATCCAATTCTATATTAGTTACATAGCTTTCTGCAATTAAATGACCCCAAAACGCTCCAAAGTTGCAAACATTTTTCCACCCCCTAAATTTGAAAACACACAGGTCAAGGTGGTTAATTTCTGTTCTTTGTCGCAACTGGGGCTGGGCATTTCGAAGCAAATAGTGAATTATTCGAATCCGTTTGGACAAGAATTTTGAATCGTCGTCATCCTGCTTTTCATTTTGCCCGCCATAGATCGAGGCGAATCCTCTATTTTCTTACTGGAGCCACATTTTTGAAATGCAATTCTGGTATATGATTCTTTCAGAGAGATATTGATGAAATAATTCTTTTTGTGAACACTCGGCGAACTGTCTGAGTGATAGATAGATTCGAAATAAAATTTCGATTCGATTCTGCAATCACCAATTATTCGAAAATGTCCAGCCCTAGTCGCAGCATGTTTCTATTGTGCAGTCGGGAGTCGGGTCAGGGCATCCTGAAAATGTGGCGATGTTTGCACTGTTTTACGTTGGTTTGCAAGTTTGGATGTTTACCTTACCCACGACCCAGAAGTAAGCTTGCTGTTCTTTTCTGTTGAAAAATTCACGATGCTCAGTTTGGCGGTGTATGCTATACATGTTCTCACTCTTTTTTGGAAACAATTTTTTGAATAATGCAGCTAAAGCTAAAGACTCCCCGCATGACCATAGAGTTATTTGATTCTTACATAAACCTCGGAAACACAACTAAAAAGTGACCTTACAAATTTTTAGCCTCTTTTTATTCCAGGCTATCATCCTTGTCTTCTTGGTACCTTGTTTGCGTTTTTTGTGTTTTGTGGTAGAGAAGCAAAAATGAATGAATGATTGTTTGATATTTACAATCACGCAAAAATATTTGTCTATGCAAAGAGTGTTGGAGCGGATGTATGGATTTCTATTTTAACATCACCGTCAACTTATCGCTGATTGAATTTTTGTTACGGAATTAATCCAAAAAAAAGATGCCCGGACGAAAGGCCGTGGTTCGCCATATGATTCCGACTCCAATCGGATAAATACGTAAATCCTATCCTATCCGGCTCGGGAAAACATCCAGTGCAAAAATCATTTTTCCTTTCGTGAGCTGGTTTAT